TCCCACCAGTAAAGGGTTGCCTCATATATCTATTATTGATTTGCACTCATTGGTCCAATGTTGCCCTTTGCCACATCTTCTACATAATCCAAGAAGTGGTTGGGGCCTCCTGTTTGGGTTATTTATAGAAGGAGTATTACTTCTAGGAGCATTCCATGTACAGTTTTTACTTATATGATCTGCTGTACCACATTTAAAACATTTGGTACCACGGGGCTTTCTTCTACCTCTGGGAATTGCTTCTCCTATGCAAGTCTCTTTAATATAGTTAAGAGACTCAACACATTATTATACTGAATCCTTTCTTCCAAAGGAGCTGATCTGACCTTTAATGGTGTAAGTATTCCTTTCCATTCTGTATTAACATTGTCGAATGCCAAGGACTCAGTTTATAGCTGTCTTAATTGTTTATCTGACATACCTTTTGTTATAGCTGTGGTCAGCTTTTGTAAAAAAATCAGTGAAATGTTCTTGCAGCCCCTAAAATATCTTTGTGTATACCTTAGTTGGTTTTCCTGGTTCTGGATTTTTTCCCCAAGCATTTATAGCTGCTGTATGGCATAGGGATATTGTATGCTCATCATAAGTGGCTTGTACATTCCTATCAGCGAAACATCCCTCACCAAGAATTTGATCTTGGGACATCTCAAAACTTCTGAGTTTACCTTGTTGCCCTAAATTTCTTGCCTCTTCTCTCAACCAGCTTTTCCATTGTAGCTGCTGGCTGTATTCTAGAACAGCTGAAGTTAACTGATTCCAGTCATTTGGAATGATTCTATGCGAGGTAGACCACATATTTACATATGTTGAGTGTATTTCATACAAGGCTATCACTTCCTTCATATTTTTAGAAATCTCTCACTGAAATTGGTTGTAATGTATATGTCATATATGACTCAGGATGTCTATGATCTGCTGGCCTCTCATGGATGATGACAGGATAAGCCATTGTATGAGAGCCATCTGTATGTTACAACCTGTATGGTCTTGCCTTTCTGCTTATTAGGTCTCTTGTCATGTTTACTGAGAGTTCCTTCCAGGGCTTGCAAATGAGCACCTAGGGTCTGTTCTAGGGAGTGAACCTCCTCTCTTTCAAGGGATTCCAGATTTCTCATGGAATCACACAACTTTTTATGTTCTTCTAAAACACATGATTCCATAGACCTTATTTTATCAGTTAACAACAATCTTTCTTCCTGATAAAGTGTCTGAGTAGTGACAACTTCACCCTGGAGAATTATTGTTCTATCCATTAAGTATTAATATTTATTATCAATAAAATCAAATTTGAGCATACATTTATTATTAATGGATTGAAGTTCTTGTATTAAGTTAGCAGATTCCAAACTAAGAAGCCTGTTTTGTAAATCTTTATTACTGTCTTATAAATCCTGGTTAGCAGATTCCAGAGGAAAAAAACTTTTTATGTAAGCCTTCACTGCTATCTTTTAAAGCCTGTATCAGTTCCAATAATGGCTAATCTTTGTTATTATTATTAAACCAGTATTTGTATGCTGTGTAAATTATTAGGGTAAATGCCAAAATGGTACAGGCCAGATAAGCCTTAGGAAGGTCGTATATTTCCAGGAAAATGCCATTCATCATACAGGCAAAAAAGTTTTTACATCCTTGTGAAGTAATGCTTTCAGCCATATTTTAAGAATTACTCAAAATTTGTTAGTCAGTTTCAAGGTGTAAAACTATCAAGTCCTCTTACCTGAAATAAAACACTGGCTTGCTTATCTTACCATGCTTGTGATGGTTTGGGGGGTGTAGCAGCACATTTTAGCCAGCAGGGGTCGCTAGTGTAGCACTAAAGCAGGTCCTGCTGAAGGCTTTGTCTGATGGGAGCTGCAGGTGGGAATGGAGTGTCCTGTGTGCACGTGTGGAGGAGCTGCGGGAGGCAGCAGCAAGGTGACGATCTTCCTGCGACTCCCTGGAGCTTCAGGCCTTGGCTTTCATGGCCTTCCTGGCCTTTCAGCGCCCTCCCTCTGCCCAAAGCTGGTGTGTGGGGTTGAGTGGCCTGAGCTCAGGGCCTGAAGAACTCCAGGCAGCAAGGATGACGGCCAGCAGTCAGGGCTCTAAGCCCCTCTCAGTGCCTCTGCAGCCACGGGAGCAGCACCCTTGGGGAGCCAGCCAGGGGGAAGCAGCGGCATCTATTTTATCAGGCAGCCTCTGAGCAGCTTCTCAGAGAGATGGTGAGATGGTGGAAGCCCTGGGCTCGTGCAAGGGTCGGTGGGGGGAGGGGGGTCAATCACGCGGCTCTTGCCTGTCTGGGGACTGAGCTTGTTGGGGGAATGAGGACCCAGACTCAGCTGCTCCCTTGTGTTGGGTGCCTGAGAGCCGGGGAGGAGGAAGGAAGGGAAGGGAAGTAGAAGTACCTGGTGGTCATGGACTGAACTGGTAAGCACTTGGTCCCCAGGAGAGGCGGGGATTTTAAAAGTGTGGGAAGTGTGGAAAGTGTGGAAAGCATGCCACAGCAGCCACAGAGGAGGCTGAGAGTGGAAGCCACCCAGGCCCGTGGAGTTGGTCTCACGTGAGCGCCAGATACTGGGGGATTTATTAAGGCAACTCCATGTAGTTAAAAGGGAGGTTTATTAGGGGGTTTTACTTACAACAAGTAAACGGATAGGTTACAGGGCGTGGGAGAGGTGAGGTGCAGTCCAGCGGTGTTCTCTGGAGAGCTCTGCTCAGTCTACCATCCAGCATCCAGGATCACAAGGAACCAAGAGAGCCAGCACATCCGGATTTCAGGTCTTAAGGGCTCCCGTCTTGGCCCTGCCCCAGGGGCAGGCCATAGGTAGGTGTGGCAGATATGGCTCTTGGCAGCAGCCCAAGCCTGGCTGACTATGGTAACAAGTATCAGTGCAGGCCAAACAGGTTGACATGGCCCCAGCAGCTGTATGCCTCTCAGATCTCATCATGATCATCGGTGGCAGCCTGGAAGCTGGACATCCTTGTGGGCTTTGGTGGGAATGTGGGCCATGGGCATCAACATAGACCCCAGCTGCAGTAGAACCATGGACCTAGGTATGGTCCTCAGCAGCCTCTCAGCCCTGATGTCACTCTGGCCCTGGGTAACTACCTGGGACTCTCAGATCAGGATTGCCCCAGATGCAAGGTGGCCTTTGGACAACAACATGGCCCCGAGTGGCAGACCAGACTTCATGCATTCATATGTCCCTCAATGGTATTAGGAGCCATGGATATCAGCTCAGATCCTGGCTGCAGTGGGGCCATGGATCTAGACACAGCCCCTGTCTGCAGCCTGGGCCCTGACACCACCATGGCCCCAGGTGATAGTACAGTCCACTCAGATCTTCATGGCCCTGGCCACGGCATGTCCCTCAGTCACCAACATGGTCACAGGTGGAGGCCAAGAGCCCAGGCATCCATGTGGCCTTCAGTGGTGACACAGGCCAAGGGCATCAACACAGAACCTGGCTGTGGTAGGACCCAGATATGGTCCTCAGAAGCAGTGCAGGTTCATGTGCTACTATGACCCCGGGTGGCAGTACAGGCTACTCAGATCAGCATCAGTCCAGCTGCAGGGTGGCCCTCAAACATCAACACAGATCTGGGTGGGGGTTCAGACCCTGGAACCCACCCACTCTTTGATGGCCACAGGTACTTTGGATATCAACACAGGCCCTGGCTGTGGTAGGGCCACAGACCCAGACATGCCCCTCAGTAACAACCCTTGACCCGACATCACCATGGCCCCAGATGGAAAGCAGGCCTCCCACATCAGCCAGTTCCCTACCGCCTTCACCTCTACAGATCTGCCTCTCTCCACAGGACAAGAACCTCTCTGTCTCCCTCTTTCTCCCATACTCCTCCATACACCTGTTTACCATAATGGTGCTGGACCAGCCAGCACTTCAAGGCGCTGGACAGGCCCTTAGCTTTTTCCCACCAGCTCAAGGCAACTACCCCAGGTGGTGTGCGTGAGTCCATCTTTGCTGCTCCATAACTAGAGGTGTTGGGTGCTCTGGCCCTTTGACTTGAAGTTTTTATCATACAAGTCTTTCACATGCTTTTTAAGAGTTACCCTAAGATATTTTATGTTATTTGAGGCTATTGTGAAAGGTGTTATTTTCCTGATTCATTTCTCAGTCCATTTGTCATTTGTATATAGGAGGGCTACTGCTTTTTGTGAGTTAATTTTGTATCCAGCTACTTTACCGAAGTGTTTATCAGCTGTATGAGCTCCCTGGTAGAATTTTCAGGGTCACTTTTGTACATTATCACATCATCTGAAAGTCAAGATACTTTGAGTTCCTCCTTTCCTATTTGTATCTCCTTGGTCTCCTGCAGTTGTGACTGCTCTAGCTAAGACTTCAAGTACTATATTGAATAGGTATGGAGAGAGTGGACAGTCTTGTCTTGTTCCTGATTTTAGTGGAATTGCTTGAGTTTCTCTCCACTTAAATTGATGTTGGCTGTGGGCTTGCTGTAAACAGCCTTTATTATGTTGAGGTATGTACCTTGTATCCCTAATCTCTCTAGGACCTTTATCATGAAGTGGTACTAGATTTTTCAAAGATCTTTTATGCATCTAATGAGATGATCATGTGTTTGTTATATGATGGATTGTGTTTATCAGTTTACATATGTTTAACAATTTCTACATGTCTGGGCTAGTGTTTTTGGTACCAGAAGGTATTCTGTAGGGTATCAAAGGATAAATGTAAACGCCAACCCAGGTACAAACCTTTTATCTACAAAGGTATCCTCCCTGCAATATGTGCTAATACAATGGAGGAACAAATTTGTGGGAGTAACCAACCAATATCTGATTTGATTAAGGTCTACTCCATGATATGGAACCCATACCCGATGCTGCTTGAGTGACTAAGAACCTGAGACTAGTTAGCCTAGGGACCTAAGGTAAAACTAAATATCATTGTTAAACAAAACAAAAGCATAGCAATAAATTGACTCATAATGGTATTTTCCTATGCTCAGATAAGCGCATTGCTCATCCATCATCAGAAAAGCTTCCTCCTGCAGTAGATGGGAAGAAATACAGAGACCCAAACCAAGCAATATGCAGAGTGAGAGACCTTGAAACACTCAGCCCTAAATAGAATGTCTCCATCAAATCCTTCTCCTCAGGGCTCGGGCAACCTTGTGGAAGAAGAGGAGGAAAGAATCTAAGAGCCAGAGGGAAGGGAGGACACCCAGGAAACACGTCCATCTGAACACAACAGGACCAAAGCACATGTGAAGTCACAGAGCCCGAGGCAGCACACACAGGTTCTGCACAGGTCTGCACCAGACAGGGTCCTAGAGTTTAAAGGGGAAGAGGACACCTGCCCCCATCCCTGACCCAGAGGCTACCTCCAAGTGATAACCACTTCAATGAAAATACAGTTTTCTCCAAGGCAGTCTCACTGGGAAAACAAACGACTCATAAGGGTGGGCTGTGCGCCCAGCAGCAAGTAGATGGCCAACAGAAAATGAACTCAAAGGCATCTTTGGAGGTTTCTTGTCTCATAATGTCTTATCAGGGCTTTTTCTCTTTAGTTTCTTTTCTAAAATTTTAAAGTTTTTAATTAAAATTTTATGTATTTTGCATTTTATTTCTCCCTCTCTCCCTCTCTCCCACACCACAGGCTCTTTGTGTATATGTTACGGCTTCTGGTTTTTGTGTTTTCATGGATTTCCTGAGTGTGTGAAGTAGTGGGTCTCTGCATTAATATCTGTTTCTTGTGCTTTTTCTTGGGCTCTTTTTCTCATGTTTTTATTTTATTATTATTCTCTAGATGATTCTTTGTTTTCTAATGAGAGGCAGAAGTGAGTGGATCCAAATGGGAGGGGAGGTGAGAAGGGACTGGGAGGAATAGAGGGAGAGGAAACTGTAATCAGGATGTATTGCATGAAAAAAAATCTATTTTCAGTAAGAAAGAAAATTCAACTAAAATAAATTGTGCACATGTCACCTGGAATAATTGGTTAAAACTAGCCCAGACCCTACTGTACTTAAGCGAGCACTGAGTGAGTTTTTAGTTCACCTGGAGATCCTGATGCACATCACAGCTGAGAATGGCCGATGAAGGCGCCCAGAATCTCTGCAGTTTAGCAGGGCCCAAGATTACACTTGAGGTATTTATTTCTCTGTAGTGACTTTGCACTTGGCCACAAGCTGATCAACCAGATTTGCCCCCTTTCTTCTGGTTGTAGAAATCCTGTCCACCTTCATAGCCCTGAACGAAGAAGGACTTGTCTGGGGTCTCTGACAATCACCTCACGTGGGTATTATTAGGCTTTCCTCCTGCTGTCCACCTGCACCCTTTCTCCTCTTTCAGGGTCAGGATTAAAGCCAGCCACTGTTTTATCATGTTTCTGATTTTCTTTCTTCCTTGGGAAGCTCCCTTGATTACATTTACCTTTTATATTCCTCTTCATCTCCATGGTGGCCCATATTTGGTACTTGATGGTATGAGCATTTGTGTTTCATAAATGGGCAAGTACCCAACTTCCCCAGGAAGAGGTAGCGTGTAGTGGCTGCATCCAGTCACACGTGCTCCAGGATTCCAGATGACTTGTGTGACTTACCTCTACAGTCACTGTACCTGTGCATTTTGAGAGGTTGCCATCGGCAACATTTGAAACTTCAGACAAGCCGACTGGAAAGAAATGAAAGTCAAGTCCCACAGGCATTTCATAGTGTTATAAAGATTTGAGAATCTATCTTGAAAGCACTATTCTTGATTTTGTTGATCGAGAAATAGTGTGGTTCATTTTATATTATTCTCGATGTTGGGAGCTTTGATAATAATAGGCATAGTGGGCTGAGAGGAAAGAGACAGGAGACAGAGTTCTGTTAGGAAGACATCATGATAGTAACAAATAGATTATATGTTAGGTATGTAATATAGGTTACCACCATTTGATTGAGTACCTTTGATGCACTTAGATGTTAGGTACATGTTAGGTACATGGTATATAGTTGTGTTTTACAGATAATGAAATCTAGGCTTGTAGATTTGTAATTGAATTGTCAAAAGACATCCATGAATATTGGAAGTTGTACTCAAGACCACTTAACTCCAAACTCTTACAATACAATAATAGTAATAACAATAATTGCTATGCCTTGGATATAGTTTGTCCCTTCTAAAACATGTGTTAAAACTTAACCCTTAAGGTAAAGTATTACATATTCTTCATAGATACGTGGCCAGTAGTCTGGGGAAGCACCAAAGGAAATGAACTGAAAGACTGTGGATAAGGACGCTTGTGATAGGGGAGTGTGCATAGAGAGTTGGGAATGGATATGAAGTGTGAAAGATTTTAATTATAAGTAATACTCACCAGAAAGTCAGGATCCAGCACGGAAGGAAATAACAAGTAAATTGGAATAATTGATCCATGAGCAGTACCCAGACTTGATGTTGGTCATCTTGAACTGGAATGGATGTCCCATAATGGCTGCAAATGGGGTCATTAACATGACAGTAATTTTTCCATTAGCATATATGTAAAAGTGCATCATTCCAGAACTGCAGTGGTGGTAGTCATGAAGATCTACTGTTTAAGATACAATACTGCAAATTATTTGTGAGTTTAGTTAGCTGAGAGTATCTGGCTGTGCTACCTCCTAGAGCATAACGACTCATGGCATGCTGATGTGTTTTCAACACAAACCAGAGTCACCTGGGAAGAGGGAACTTCAGTTAAGGAATTGTCTAGATCAGATTAGCTTGTGGGCATGTCTGTAGTGCATTTTCTTGATTAATGATTAACATGGGAGAGCCCAGTCCGCTATGGGTGGTGCCACCCCTGGGAAGGTGGTCCTGGGGTGTATAAGAAAGCAAGCCAGTAAGCAGCATTCTTCTATGGTCTCTGCTTCAGTTCCTGCCTCCAGGTATTTGCCTTGACTTCTTTCATGATGGACTGTAAGATGAATTAAATGCTTCCCTCTTTAAGTTGTTTTGGTCATAGTGTTTATAAGAGCAACAGAGAAGCAAAGTAGGACATGGCCATTCTGTTTTATCAGGAGCCATCACCACTGAGCCTGGTGAGGACAACAGGGCATGGTCCTTTCAGCCCAGTGCAACAGTCTCTCCCCAGGAATCTTTGTGCAGAGCTAATAGGCAGTGTGAGACTTTCCTACACAGCATTTCTCCCTTTTTTGTCTTTTTCTTTCCTGTCTTACAGGAATCTTCCCAGAGGATCCAGTAGCCCCAGGGTCTTCCACTATTGTGACACAGAACTTAATATTTCAAAATACATAATATTTGAATACTTATGTTCCTGGCTACTTGCCTGTTTGTACTAGTTTTTATTACAGAATACTTTTTATCGTAAATCAGAAATGTACTTGAAAACATATAAATCATTCACAAAACATACTTGAGTGTATCACTAACAAGGGCTTAGTATAGTAACTCTCTAAAGCAGATAATATCTATAAATGATAATTATGATGATTATTACATAAATTCCAACCAGTGAAATGTATCTCCAATCTATTATGTATATAGACACTTCAGACAGATGTGTCAAGTGGGTCAGACACTCAGTTATTACAGAGAATGTCCTAGAAACTTTACATGTAATCGCAAAGTAGTTTGAACATTTCATAAAGCTTTGGATATATGAATGTCTGGCATAGGTAAGTATTGAGTAAAAATTTGCTGAATGAATGCATGAAGAAAATAGTTGGCATGTAACAAATTGGCCAAACAGGATTTTTTTAGTGTTGAGTTAGTTAGAAATTATTTTATTCAAATTATATAAAATGACTGGAACTAGATAAGAAGTTATTTTATTCAAATTATATGAAATGACTGGTTTTAGATAATTATGGATAATTATAAAAAAGCTTGGACATTTTCAGTAATCCAGCAATTCTTTCACATATTTCTATTTTTAAAATGTTTTTTTTCTGGACAATTTCATATATATTTACAATGTATTTTGATTGTCTTGATGCCTATTACTCTCTATTATTTCCTTCCCACTCCTGAACACCTTCTTCCAGAAATCCCCTCTGTATACTAACTGAGGAAAACGAATGTTGCTCTAGGTGTGCTGCATAAAGACTTTTTATATTGAGATAGATTCTTTGTATTCCTAGTTTCTTCAGGCTTTTGTTCATGAAGGGGTGTTAGATTCTGTCATGAGCCTTTCTTGCATTTCTTGAGATTATCATGTGATTTCTGTTCTTCAGTCCACTTATGTGATAAATTACATTTATTGACAGTGTGTTGAACCACCGCTGCATCTCACTAAAAAGGGAACTTGGTCATGTTGAGTAATCTTTTCAATGTGTTCTTTCCATGTGTGTGCATGTGTAGATGTGCGTGTATGTTCAGGTTTATGTGCTTATGTGTATGTGTGTGCAGTTCACATGTCTAAGAAAGCATATGGTGGCCAAAGGACAAACTTGCATGTTGTTCCTCAGATGCTCTCACTTTGGTCTTTGAGAAAGAATCTCTCATTGGTCTGGAGTTCATCAAGTAGGCAAGGCTGACCAGCTAGTGATCTCCAGGGATCTACCTTTCTCCTCCTCTCCAGCATTGGGACTGCAAGTGTGTGCCACCATGCCCAACTATTTTTAAAAGTGTATTCTGAGGGTCAAATCCAGGTGTTTATGCTTGCAAGGCAGGAACTTTGCCAACTGAGACATATACCCAGCCCTTGATATGTTATTGAATTTGTTTGTAAGTATCTTATTAAGATATTTTACATGTATGTTCATCACAGAGATTGGTCTATAATTTTATTGTTTCTATGTGTGTCCTTATTATGTTTGGTATCAAGATAATACTAACTTCATAAAAAGGACTTGGTAATGTCCCTTCCTTTTCTGTTCTATGGAGTACTTGGAGAAGCACTGGTGTTGGTTCCTTGGAGGTCTGATAGAAGTCAGCAATGTGTCCATCTGGACCTGGGTGTTTTTAGTCAGAAAACATCACTGCTTCAATCTTGATGTTTGTTATAATTTGTTTGAATTACTATTTTTTTTGGCTTTTGATATGATCCATTTTAGGGAAAGTTCCATAGACTACAGTGAATATGGAAGAATATGTATACTGTCTTGTTTGGATGGAATGTTCTGCAATGTCATAACTCCATTTGGTCTTTGATATCTTTATGCTTGAGAATTTCATACATGTGTGCAATAAAACATAATTGTATCTATCCTACCATATCTCCTCCGACACATTCCCCTTCCAATTTCATGTTTTTTTTTAATATCCCCAAAATCTAGTTAATTATGTGTGTGTGTGCATGGTTATAGGACCATGTGCTGGAATGTAAAAATCCTATCAGTGTCCACAACCTCTACAAAGGAAGATTCTCTACTCAGAAACCAACAACTGCCAACAACTCTTCAGTTAGGGATGGTGACCTGAGGATAATTTGCTTCATCTTTGCTGGAATTTTTTGCTGGCTTGATCTTGTGTAGGTAACTCCAGATGCTGCAGGTTCATAGTGTGGGAGCCCCCTCATGTCCAGAGGACAGCATTTCACAGTGATTCTCCCCACATCATCCAGCTCTTACATTCTTTCCACTTCTTCTTCCTCAATGTTCTCTGAACCTCGTGGGTGGGGTTGATATAGGTGTCCCATTTAGGGCTGAGCACTCAATCTCTTCTCATCACTGTGACCAGAAAAGACACCTCCTTGATAAGGGCCAACAGCAGCCCAGGCCTATGACTATAAACATAAACATTCAGAAAGCATTTTGACAGCATGACTGTGTTGCAAAATAGTAATAATGGCAGGTTCTACTCCAGGGCCTCTGACCATCCCAGCTTTTGATGGGGTTACAATATCAGGTAAGAAACTTCTTCCTGTACAGTAGATCTCAAATCCAGTCAAGCAGTGGTTCATTACCTCGCAACAGTGTTGCCATGATTGCAGTAGTGGGCACATCTTGCCTGGCAGGTTGATGTTGCAGCGTGCAGGGTCCAGTGCTGGGTCAGACCACTGATGGCTTTTCTTCCCCAGCTCCCTGCACAACACCTTCCAGCACGATGAAAGCTAGCCAACATGGAGGAAGTTTCCTGGTCAGTTAGTGATTGTTGGTTTATGTTCTGCAGCTAAAGTGTGTCATTTAATTTATTGTTTATCTGTTTATTTGTTGTTGGGTGCTCTGTTGATGGTGAGAGTATGGTATTGAAGTTACCATTATATTAATAGGTTAATTTTTACATCTAATAGATTAATAGGCCAATTTTTACATCTAATTGAATTTGTTTTCTTAAATTGGATATACTCCTGTTTGGTGTGTATGTTTAGAATTGTAATAGTCTCTTGATGAATTTTTTCCCTAACAACTGTGATACGACCTACTTTATCATTGCTCACTACTTTTGGTTTACAGTCTATTTTATCCAATATTAGAAAAATGACAACTGCTTAGTTCTATTTGCTTATAATATCATTTTCCACATTTTCATCCTTAGATAGCAACTTTGGACTATTTTTGCTTGAAGTCTACTTTATTAGGCACAAATGTAGTTATTGGTTTATTTTTTACTTCGGTTTACTTGATGTGCTGACAAACATCCATTCATTCACTCTTAGTCTGTGCACATATGTCTTTGCCAGTGGGAACATTCCTTATATAGAAGAAATAGAGCTTAAGTTTTAATTCAGTCGCTAGTCAGTTTACTTTTAGGGCTAGAGGGAGGGCTTGCTGGTTCTTTCCTTGGGAATGTGATTATTGTGGTTTTATTCTTTCTTCTCTATTTATGTTAAGAGTTTACTAAGTTGGACATGATTTATTCTTTCTTAGTTTTTCTGTGTTCTTGTCTTCCTCTCTTGAAATTTATTTCTTCCTGGGCTATCATGATTGAGACTATTTTTCCTTTCTCTATATTAGGATTCCTTCAAGTATTTTTTGCTTGGTGGTCATAAATTCCTGTACTTTGTGCTGGTCTTGAGTAGCTTATTTTTCTGCTGATAATCACTTCAAGCACGTACTTGTTTTCAGGGCTTCAAAGATGCCATACCACACTTTCCTGGGCTTTAGAGTTTGTGCTGGGTGGTCTGGTGCTGTTCTGCCAGTTTGTTTTTGTACATTGTTTAGCCTTACAGCTTTTCATTTTATTTTTCTGTTTTGTAGTTTTGACATTTTGACTCTAATGTGTTGTGGAGAAGTCTTCTTAGCTCATGTCCTTTTGGGGTTCCAAAAGCTTCCCGGCTTGAATGTCTGCCTCCTCCCTTAGATTTGGGGAAATTTCTGCTATAATTTATTTAATACATTTCCTCTGAACTTATTTTTTTGCCCTGCAGGCTTCAACGGGTTCTCGACCACCCTAAGGAGGGAATGTAGCGACAGGAGATACAAAGGAAAAGACACCAAGTCAAGATTCTGATCAAGGTGCAACTTTATTTTCTTCCAGAAAGGTTTATATAGTTCCACAGGGTGGGGGGAGCAAGAAGCTGTCATCTGCATAAGGTGGGGCAAGCTAACAGGATGTTTGTATAGGATGTTTACAGGGTGAAAGGGTCAAGGCTCTGACTCAATGTCCTGTTGCTAGGCAACCTGACTGTAAGCTGATCTAGTTCCCTGTCTTATTGGGGGTCTGTATTTTTCCACTAACTAGAGATTCTGTCCTTGTCCCTGACAATTTTTTATTTCAGCTCTTACCTGGTGAACTCTTAGGTCTGGCCTCTTGGCCATATCCAAGTCACTGAGTGTCATGACAATGGTTTGGCATTTCTTTGATGTCTGCACCGGTGTTTCCTCGCCTCTTCTTGTTCTTGATACCATTGTTCTGCTTTGTTCAGTCACTGGTAATGCCTTTCACTGTGTTTTTACCTAATTGACTGACTTTTGTTTCTGACGTCTATTTGTTTTTCAGGATCTTATTTTCACCACCGATTTTGTCATCAATATTGCTGACTTTTTGGGCTACCACCTAAATTCATTTCCTTAGTTGATTTGTTTATCTATTTAGTCCTTGAAGTTTCTAATTATTTTTAGAAGTAGAGCATTTTGAATTCTTTGCCACTATTCCGGTATTTGGGATTATATAATTGAGTTACAATCCCTCAGTGGTGTTGTGCTATCTTGCTTTTTCATGTTTCATGTACTGTGTTATGATTTTCACTTCTGTTGTGTGTAGCTAGTTTTCCTGCCTTGCCCACAGTCAGAACAAATCTTTGTCACCCACCAGTCCCATAGGTGCTCAGACCCAACCAAGTAAACACAGAGACTTATATTGCTTACAAACTGTATGGCTGTGGCAGGCTTCTTGCTAACTGTTCTTATAGCTTAAATTAATCTATTTCTATAAATCTATACCTTGCCACGTGGCTCGTGGCTTACCGTTACTTTACATCTTCCTTGTCCTGGTGGCGGCTCCAGGCAGTCTCCTTCTGCCTTCCTGTTCTTTTATTTCTCTTCTCTGTTAGTCCTGCCTATACTTCCTGCCTAGCCACTGGCCAGTCAGTGTTTTATTTATTGACCAATTAGAGCAACTTGACTTACAGACCATCCCACAGCACAGCCAAGTGCAGACCATCTCAGACACCTGCACTCAGGCCCGTGGTCCTAATCATCTTCTATGTGGACCTGCTGGGTAAAGCCACAAGGAACCCGAGAACGGGCTCCCACAGGACATACAGAACATCCCACAGCAGTTGTGGATGTCTCTTCCAGTCTTATTTGTGGATCTTAGTGAATAGCCCACTCTTTAGGGTTAAGTGAGCCTCCTGCCACTTAGCACTTTTCTGTGGGTCTGCATCATGTCTTGTCCCTCTCCAACATGGCAGGTACTCATTTTGTGAATCTGGCAGGTTACCTCAGGCTCCCTGATGTGAGATTGTTCCTTGATATCTGACCCCCAGGGTACACAGTCTCAAGCAATTAGTTCCACCTAAGGATGGCACCCAGCCATATCCCCTCTGAGAACTGGGAGTGACAAAGTGGATCTCCTTCCACTTCTGACTCACCACACTGGATTTGAAGGTTGGGAGAACTGTGGGCCTTTCCTGTGGGTAGAGTGCCTGAGGTGGTTTCAGAGAAAATGGCCCTCCAAAGGAGTGGCACTATTAGGAAGTGTGACCTTGGGGAGAAGATGTGGCCTTGTTGGAGGGAGTGTGTCACTGTGGGGTGGCTTTGAGGCCTCCTATGCTCAAGCTACTCCCAGTGTCACAGTTTACTTCCTGTCACCTTCAGATCAAGATATAGAACTCTCAGCTCCTTCTCCAGCGCCATGTCTGCCTGCCTGCCATCATCATACTTCCCACCATGGAGATAATGTACTAAACCACCAACTGTAAGCTAACCCAATTAAATGTTTTCCTTTGTAAGAGTTGCATGGTTATGGCGTCTCTTCACAGCTACAGAAATCCTAACAAAGATAGGAGGTGATACCAGGGACTGGGGTATTGTTGTGGTGGCCTGACCATGCTTTTGTTTGAAGGAATATGGATCTTGTTATTGTGGATTAGAAGAGCAGTTGAACATTTTAAGTGCTGCTTAATGCACTATACTATTAGGAGTATGGTAGACAGTGGTGCTGTGATTTGAACTTTGGGGGCCTGGCTTAAGAAGTTTCAGAGGAGAAGAATTTTAGTTTGTTGCCTAAAGATCATTTATGTGATGTTTTGGTGAAGAATGTAGCTGCTCTTTGGCCTTGTCTAAGAAGTCTGCCTAAGGAGAAAAGAAGCGCCAGGAATTGGGACAGAGCCAAGTCCTGTGTTCAAGGAGAGAAACAGATTAAGAAATGGAATAAAGGGAGTAATGACCTCAGGGCAAGACCCCACCCAGCTACGTTTCCAACCTCTGAAAAGGAATTAAAGAAAAGCCTAGAGTCAGGTGTGGTGGTGCATGCCTTTAAATCCCAGCACTCAGAAGGCAGAGGCTGGTGGATTTCTGAGTTTGAGGCTAGCGTGGTGTACAGAACAAATTCTAGAACAGACAAGCTTAGGCAGTGAAGGAAATCATGGAAAACAGAAAGCTGGTGAACTTGGCAGCATTGGCCACATGGTTCTGGCTTTAGAGTCAAGGATAGAAGAAAGGGGCTATGTAATCTTCATTTGGAACTAAGGAAAGCCACTGAACTCAGGCACTTGTCACTGAATGGAGGTCTATAGAGACCATTGTGTAATGCTGTAAAGGCGAAGCCTGGATTGCCTTGGAGACCCCAAGATGTTGGAGAGTTCAGAGCCGTAGACACCTGCCAAGGAGAGCTGCTAACAGGGAGTGGAAACAGCCCAAGAGAAAAAAGTGTGCTGAAATCAACAAAGCTGAACTGAATTGGAGATCTGAAGAGTGTTTTCACATTGGACATGGAGATGCAGTTCAGAGTTTGCTCAGCTGGTTTTCTGTCTTGCTTTGGTCCAGTATTTATTCACTATGCTCCCTTCCGTATGTTTTGGAATGGTAATGTATATCCTGTTCCATTATATGTTGGAAGTATGTGATCTATTTTTTGATTTTGATTTTATAGGCAATAACAGTTAAGAGATTTCCACAAGTCTCAGAAGAGACTTTGAACTTTGAAACAAGTTTGAAACTATTATAGACTATGGGGACTTTTGAAGTTGGACTGAATGCATTTTTGCATTATGATACGACTACAAGTCTTTGGGGGTCAGGGAGTCGAATGTGGTGGCTTGAAAGAAAATGATCCTTAAAGGGAGTGGCGCTATTAGGAGGTGCGGCCTTGTTGGAGGAAGTGTGTCACTGTGGGGGGTAGGCTTTGAGGTCTCCTATGCTCACAGTTCACTTCCAGTCACCTTCAGATCAAGATGTAGAACTCTCAGTTCCTTCTCCAGGACCATGTCTGCCTGCGTGCCAACTGCCATGAAGATAATGGACTAAACCTCTGAACTGTAATCTAGCCCAATTAAATATTTTTCTTTATAAGAGTTGCCTTGGTCATGGTGTCTCTTCACAGCCATAGAAACCCTAACTAAGAGAAAAGGCCATGATAAAAATAATTTTTAGTATCTCAGTTAGCGTGTTGGTTTTGTTTTTCTCTTGTAATCATTTTCAGATAACATACAAAATAGAAAAAATATAAACATAAACATACAAAAACTCATCTGTATATTCTTGGTTCTTAATTTACTTCATCACTGGGGAAAAGTCAGTCTTATTTTTTTTAATTCATTGGGTAAATATATATGTTTTTCAGATTTTTATATGATGGAATTCAAATAAATAATTTTACTATATCTGTATTTGACTTCTATTGTCATTATTTCATTTCCAAATAGCTGTGCACTACCCAAGTCATTTCTTCTAGAAGGCAGTTCCAAATTTCCCATTTTTAAATATAATTTTGCCTGTTCTGAAAATTTGTAGCACTGTGTCTAAAATATTTCATTCTAGAGTGGTTATTCAAGAAGCCTTAGAAAGTTACTTCGTTTTAGCTAGATCTCAATTTTGTTTAACTAATTATAGGGAACCTAGCTGTCGGTTGGGTAAGGTTTCAGAGTATGACAAACCCAGGGTGATTAACTCCCTGAGACCTGGACAAGCTTGAACAGCTTGCCCAGAAAAGGCAGGGACATCTCTTGGGTCGCCCTGATACGTGTCCTGTTACTGTTGGGTTTATTGTGTTTCTACTCTAATCGATTTAGCATGGCTCCCACCACCTGTGTGCTGTCCAGGCTGGCGCTGAGTTGCTGGGCTCAAATGATCCTCCTCTACCAACCTCTGAAGTAGCTGGACCTACAGACATACGTCACTGTGCTGGTTGCTTTTGTCTTTATACCACAGATTGGAAGAATGTTTCTATAAAGGAGGTGCACATCCTGAGATGCCCATGGTTGGAAAGTTGTGTTTATCATGATGAGGGCTGAGGTGGTCCTTCCCCAGCACAGCACATCTGTGTTCTAGGTCATGCTGCTTTTTGTTGTAATATAAAGTTCATTCCTTTTTCTGACTTCCAAAAAGCAGTGACCCAAGGCCAGAAAGGATGAAAATATTTATTTTAGCATTGTCTTATAAATAGAAGTTATTCTTATTCCTGTTTTGAAGTTTAAAATAGTATGTGTGTTACGTTTTCATCCATTCTAATTATGAAATATTTAACCACAAAAATCTGGCTTTTCATAATTAACAGATTTAACAAAAGAATCCTGTAGTTAGATTGGAATGGTTTCAACAGCTCATTTCTACCACTGGCCCTGTCCTTTCATAGAGTTGTGGTCTGCTGGGTCTATAGCATTTCTACCCTCTATTTCACTATTCACATTTGCATTTTTGTAAAATTAAAAAAAAGTTTTTTTTTACTGTGTGTGTGTGTGTGTGTGTGTATGTGTATGTGTGTATGTGTGTATGTCCGTGTGTGTGTCCGTGTGTGTGTCCGTGTGTGTGTGTGTGTGTGTGTGTGTGTGTGTAGGCCAGAGAAGAATGCTAGGTGTCCTCCTTTGCCATTTCTGCTCAGTTTCCCTGAGCAGGGCCTGCACTGGACCTGGAGCTGAGTGAGTTTGGCAGCAGTGCTCGTCTGTGACCACCCTGTAGCACTAGGTGACAGGCGCATACACCCCTGTTTACAGAGGTGCTGAGGATCTCCCCTGCAGCACCAGGTGACAGGTGCATACACCCCTGTTTACAGAGGTGCTGAGGATCTC